GGCGACCTGCTGCTGAACCTCGCCTCGGGCGTGACGGCGGTGCGCGACGTCGGCAACAGCAACGCCACGCTGGCCGAGCTGCGCGGCCGCATCGACCGTGGCGAACTGCTCGGCCCGCGCGTGGCGGCCAACGGCTTCATCGAAGGCAAGAGCCCGTTCTCGTCGCAGGCCGACTTCGTGCCCGACAGCCTGCCCGACGCGCTCGCCGCCATCGACTGGTACGCCGCCCACGGCTATCCGCCAGCTCAAGCTCTACAACTCCATCCGGCCCCGAGTGGGTCAAGCCGATGGTCGCCCACGCCCGCGCGCTCGGACTGCGCACCGGCGGCCATGTGCCGGCCTTCATGACCGCGAGCCAGGCGGTGCAGGAGGGCTTCGATGAGCTGCATCACATCAACCAGGTCACGCTGAACTTCCTCGTCAGCAAGGGCGACGACACCCGCACGCTGCTGCGCTTCAACCTGCCCGGCGACAAGGCGGCCGACCTCAAGCTCAACGACCGCCGCACGCAGGACTTCCTCGCGCTGCTGAAGCGCAAGGGCACCGTCGTCGACCCGACGATGGTGGCTTTCGAGGCCCAGTACACGCAGCGCCAGGGCCAGCCCAACCCGAGCTATGCGATGGTCGCGGCCAACCTGCCGGCCGTCATGCAGCGCGCGCCTGCTCGCCGCCGAGGTCGACATGGACGACATCAAGGCACGCCGCTGGGGTGCGAGCTGGCGGGTCATGATGGACCTGCTGCGCCGCATGCACGCGGGCGGCATCCCGATCGTGGCGGGCACCGATGAAACGCCGGGCTTCGCGATGCAGCGCGAGCTGGAGCTGTACGTGCAGGCCGGCATCCCGGCCGCCCAGGCGCTCAAGATCGCCACCTGGAACGGTGCGAAGCACAGCGACCGGCTGGCCGAGATCGGCAGCATCACGGTCGGCAAGCGGGCCGACCTCGTGCTGCTGGACGGTGACCCCGTCGCCGACATCCGCGCCGTGCGCCGCGTGGCGCTCGTGCTGCAGGGGCAGGGCAGCCAGACGCGTGCGCTGTCGCCCTCGGCGCTCTACCAATCCATGGGCATCCTGCCCTTCGTGCCTTCTGCGGAGATCCTCAAGTGAAACGTCTAGGAGTCTGCGCGGCAGAGCGTGGCGCCCGCGCCGGGGCGAGTTGCGGGGCCAGGCTAGGCGCCGGCGAGGCGTGGGTCGGGACCCAC